AAGCAGCAAGGTGCTAAATCAACATCAAACTACTATTAATGAGAAATGTGGAGCCAGTGATAGCGGAAGATATAGCAGCTAAGCAGCGGTGATGCTACCAGTAATAACATCAGCTGCAAGTGCTGTAATCATCCTGCCTTGAGAAGCTCGTTTCGGAACTCGACCATGGACAAGCTGTCCAGACCTGTACCAGGTTGAAGTTATACGAATCCAAGCGGCATGAAAACAATTCATGTCTGACTTGCCCCCAATTTGGCAAATGCCCTTCCAAGTTAACAGGCTGAAGTTGGAACATCGGCCTGTGTCATAGTCTGAGCCTGACTGGGTACAATCTCTTGAGGTACTGGGAAGTTGATCGGGGTGTGCTAGGCCTGCATCCATCAGAGGCGTGTCGGCAGCGATCGAATCGTCGCCAATCAAGCTTGACCTTGCCGTGCGCCGGGGGGACATGGTGATGACGGGTTTTAACCTATCTTGTGTGAAAGGCCTTCGAGTAACGCATGCGGTATTGGAGTTTAGGTGTGTTCAGAGGAACGGGCCTTCGAAGACCCAGTCCGGTACTCAGGAGTGGAGGCTGCGCCCCATGGATTTGCGACGCAATCTGGCTTCCAGTTGCTGCAGGTATATCGACACGAGTTGTGATCACCATTTTGGTGGCTTTCAAGTCATCCTTTCCCCCTAATGTTGAAACCCTGGCCCCACCCCCTGATCCCTATATGCCCTAATGTACTACAGTGAACATATTTAACATCAGAGGGGTGGGGGGGTCTTAATATGGGGAGTTTCCCAAAAATTGAGGGGGACCTTTTGGGGTCCCCAAAACGGGATTACTTTGGGGTCTACATTGAGGTCCCCCTATTTTGGGAAACGACCATAATAGGGACAGGGGATTACTCTTCTTGGTCCTAGCTCAGAGCCCTCCCCTAAACCCTAAACCCGAATCCTAAACCCTAAACCCGAAACCCTATAAACCCTAAGCCCTAATCCCAAAACCTAAACCCTCCTTGGCTTCGGGCGCCACATCCTGGATCTGAACCTTGACCATCTCCGGCTCCTCAGCTTTATAGGCGCGCGTTTGACGAACCACCATGTGCGCTATGGTCTGAACTCCTGAAAGGGGGATTGTATAAGGGAGGATTCTAGGGATATTAACTGGATACTACAAGTTTAGACTGTGGCTCGTGTAGTCTTATCCATCGTAGAAATCAGAAGCAACCGTGGGACATCACCTGGTTATAACTCTATCTAAGTTAGGTCGTCCCTCACCCTGTAATAGTGACTACAAGGCACAATAAGGACTATATTAGGGTCCTCTTATAGTCCTATTATACTACTATTATAGGGTGGGAGGTCCCCCTATTATTTACCCTTAGCTAGGATTTAATATGGAACTCCTATGGCCAGCTTTGCAAGCGCTGCGCAAAACACAGGCGGAGCACCAGCTGCCAAGCACTTTCAAGGGTACACGGTGAGGGGATTACGGGGCCCTCATTAGGGATCATGAGGGGATTATGGGGTCGTCATTATAGGGATGATATAATCTGTGAGATCAGCATTATGCAGCCTGGACATGCCATGAGTTCCTCTAAGTAGTCTCCACATAATCAAACATGGAAACCCCCTGGATTGTTTCTCTAGGGCGCCTATGTTTCCAGAACTCCCCAAGTCGTGAGCATGGACGACTTTCCCTGGGTACCCTGCGATCTTTGGCTTTGCAGCGACCGGCGCAGCGCTTTCCGCGGCTGCCATCGGGGCGAAACCAGGCCCTCCTTTCCAGTTA